CAAATACCCCAAATATGTTTTCACAGTGCTCGAAATCCAGTCAAATGTTTCTTGAGTGTTTTGAGCCATGTCCTGCGATGACGTCAGGGCTCGAAAAATATTTGAATTCCACCTTGCCCATAGGGCAAGTAACTCTCAAATTTTGCTTGCCCGGGCACTTCCCCGCTTGCCCAAGTTTTCAAAGTCATTAATAATTCATGAACTCAAACATGGATGTCAAACTACGGGTGTGTTTTTTAAGCAATAGACCACAAGTTTTTATGGTTTGTAGGCTGATAAACCGCGCGGGATGTTGGAAGAACACGAGAAGAATGCGTAAATCACGATCCGCAGGCGAGTGATTTACGCATTCTTCGAGTGTTCTCCCAACATCCCAAGTTATCGGGGCAGATTTTGATCACGTGCTAGGCAACCACTTCTGAGCCGTGAGCGCGCGCCACGCAATCAACAAAACAACGCTATAAATTGTAATTTTCGTCAAGCTTCATCTAAACACTTGATTATCTTGAGCCTAAAATTTACCTTTTCTTGTCAAAATCGTTATTAAAAATTTAGTCGGTGAACGGCTTTCCTGGGTCCTTGCCTGTGGGGCAAGTAAGGAGAGAAAGTTGCTTGCCCGAAGGGAAAATCTCCTTGTCCCGGACAACCGGACGGGGTTTTTTTCGAGCCCTGGACGTCACAAGAAGCCCAACCCAGATCCCACTATGCTCGGTCATGGGGCAAGAAATTACAACTTTAAACGCCTGTATCACCGCAGGGATTTTATCAGTCAAAATAATTTTTCACTGAAGTAATTGGGAAAAGTAGTAGATTTCATGAAAGGAAAAAAAATTGGGGGTTAGTTGCACTTTAACCCTAAATAAAGGCCTCATCTCATGTCATCTTATCTTACATGTATCTTATATTACTTAGCTGGAAACGAGCAAGCTTGGAAACACAGTGGACAAACCAGGATGGGACATTGGATACACCTACTGTAGATGGACAGTGGACAAACGTGAATGTACAGTGGGCAATATTGGACACATGGTGGAAAATCTGGATGGGCATGAGTGGACAACGCTGTGTGGACAGTGGAAACCAGGTAAATACACTGTCTTGTAATCATCTTGGATCCTGTGTTCAAAAAGACTTCCATGGTTGTCAATACATGTACTCTCAAATACATCTTGATCTGTACTCAACCGAGGACGCGATCCATACTCGGTCGACACTCATTCAACACTTGATCAACAGTTGGTCAATTGTTGGCCAAGTGTCTACCAAGGTGTTGATGGAGTTTTGATTGGGTATTGATTGAGTGTCGATCAAGGTTATTGATCGACACTGGACTCGGATGCCTTTAGTATACATGTTCCACCATCTTTGCTACATGTAGTTATTCTTGCTAAAATTTTAGGCAAAGCAATGTAAACCTGAGAGAATCTCCTCATAGCTCTCATTGCGTTGTAACACCTTTCCATAATAAATAATACATGTTACACTTCCAAGTACATGTAAAATTAGACAGGAGGTCAAGGCCCTCCATTCAAGCAGGAAATCTTTGGAGCAGAACATTTACAATATGGTTTTTATGACATGTACCCCCTTTTT